AAAGGTCAATGACCTGACCTGACCTTCAGGTGACCTTGACACCCATCCTTATGTATGGGAGCAACATCAAATCACATGTTTGAACGTTTGAAACCACGAAAAGCTTGCAAACGTGCGGCTAATGCGAGCCGACATAAGCCGAATCGCGATTTCGGCCAAACATGGTCACGGAAAAGAGGTCACAGGTCAAAGGTCATTGAGGTCAGGGTCATGAAATTTTCAGGGTAGGTGTAAAATTGATCAATGCGAGGGTACTGAAAGTTTCGTCGCGATCGGCCGCTTTTTACGCGAGTTATTCGCGAAAAACCTTAGGGGGGGTTGCATCACCCCCCCCCCCCTGTGCCGGCGAGGGTTAACCCTCGCCCCGTTGGGGGGGGGCATTTTGGCCCCTCCCTGTGGTTTTTCCTGAATAGCAAAAAAACGGCGGCGCGCAGCGCCGCCAAATTTTCAGTACCTTCCCGGGCATCAATTTGACACCTTCACACCAAATTTCAAGTCTTAGGTCACCTTAGGTCAGGAGTTATTGAGGTCAAACTGAGATCATGTTCGAGCAAAAATGAGCAAAAAACATGCAATCTTGAAACGCTCACCAAATCTACAGTTATCAAGCAATTTCAAAGTTCTTTATATGGTCTAGTAGACAAAAAGCGGCGCTACAAAACTGCTATCTCGGATTTTCAAAATTTTGGGTTTTTGACTCCAAAAAATTTAAAAAATTGATTTTTTTAGAAAAACTAAAAAAAATCCAAAACTTTTCCGAATTTCGAAAAAACCGGAATATATGTGATATTCCCTGCGCTCTTCTATATGCATACCAAATTTCAGATCGATATCTCGTTTTTTGGCCAAGTTATAGCGAAAAAACTGTTCAAAAATGATGACGTCAAATTTTTGAACTCAATTTTTAGCGATTCTAGACCACGTACGGCAAAACAAAGACCACCATTGAATTCCACGTGACGAGCTGCATCGATTCGATACCCATTTTATGCAAAAATATTAACTTTGAAATTTGACCTAATTTGACCTGACCTTGACCTGACCTTGACCTGACCTTGACCAAAACGTGACCTAAGCTGGCCCAAAAGGCTGCCTGACCCACAAAGTCGCATTTGTCATGTAAAATGGGCCATAAAACATGTATCTCACGACACTTTCATATTGTGACCCCCCAGTGACCTGACCTCTGTGACCTGACTTGGTATCAGTGACCTCAAATAGCAAAATATGTGTTTGAAGAACATTTCCTCATCGATGATTTTCAATGAAATGCATTTTACTCGATTTTACAACGCATTTCTTGAAATGCCTGTAAACGGTGAAAATTCGACCTTTGACCTGACCTGTGACGTCATCGGTTTGACCTGGGTCAATAAAATTGGGTCACAAGGTAGTTCCCTGATAGGGCTATCCAACACCGTTTGCCGCTTGTCGCTAGGTTGCGTGGTTCTCGAGATCTTAGGGGGGGGGCCAAAATGGCCCCCCCCCAACGGGGCGCGTTGCTCGGCAGAGCCCAACGGGGCGCGGGTTAATATTAAAAAAGGGGGAGCCGAACCAGGTTGGGCCGGGTTGAACCCGGTCGGACCGGCGCGGTGTCTTACACGCAATCATGGTCAGACAAAACAGAGGCTAATTTCGGGTCAAATATTTTTATTAACTGTTCTTATTGTTTTTAGCTTACACGCATATTAACTTTTAGTTTTTTTTTTAAACTCGAGACTTCATGCACAAAAATGTGGCATTCGTCTACTTTTCCTCATCTTCTCTTAGCGACTTGATTTGACCTTAAAGCTTACCAGTAAAAAAAAAAAATCACCTGCGTGATAATTATTTGCCAAAGGGCGCTCTACGCACGAAACGCCAGCCGGTCAAAAAACTGGCGAACGATACGATCGTTCTATTGCTTGAATATTATTCAATGCAAATTTCAGGAGACATAAATAACATTAACCCTTATAGATACTGGGCGCCCGGAGCATTCGTTAGCATTCCATTGCCAGCTGCATTAGCAACATCACATTTGCATTACTTTGGGTTCATCATAGTTGACAGTAGATGAATCGGCCACAGCAAACCCATGCCTCATTATCCTTTCCTTCCAAGCAGCCAACTGCCAAGCTAACCGGCCGCCCGGCCCACCACCGCGATATGGAACAACGCTGGACTGCGTCATTTGCCTGCGGCAGTGCCCCACCGCGCCGGGGCTGTTTGACAGGTCACCCGCACCGTGCCCTCGCCACCCGTCCCCCCTCCCCACCTCCCCACCGGGCTCAGTTCGGTAGTGACCTCTCCTTGAATCTCACATGGACTCGACTTAGGCTCAACGCCATCTAGTTTCGTCTGGAGATCCTTACTAGATCCACTGTACAACAACGCAGCGCGTCCGGCCAGCAGGCGAATCACCAAGCACAGACAACCAAGTTCAAGATCTCTGCTTCACTGACAAGTTCCTAGCCGGCAAGCAAAACCCCTGTGACTTCAAGAGTCGCTTCCCCACCTCCCTCGCCGGCCTCTCAGCCGCAGACCGGGACAAACTAGAAGTGGACGACAACGACTCGGTGCAGGTGATGCGCATCGGTCGCCGACCTACCACCCGCCATCTCCATCGACAGACTGAAGGAGGCGGCTTCCCGAGACGAGACGTACCAGGGTCTGATCCAGGCGATCACATCCGGGAGTGGACCATGTCGTGCTGACAGGCCCTACTCGAGAATATGGACAGAGCTCAGCGTACTGGACGGTCTAGTGATGAAGGGCGAGCGGATCGTCATCCCGGATGCAGATCTGGGCAACGACATGGGCAACATGCGCCAATGGGTGGTGGAACTGGCCCACGACGGGCATGTTAGCGCTGATGCGGCGAAGAGGCTGCTTCGAAAAAGGCTGTGGTTTCCTGGTATGTCTCGAAGCCATCTTCGCCAGAACTGGTCTGTTAGCGCCTGGCTCTGCCGCCAAACTAGTTTGGAGCAGCTCTCTTCGTCTCGGAACAATCCCGGAGGCAGACGCCTGACCGGACGCCCCAACAGCAGATGATTGGGCGTCAGCGCCTCCAAACTGTTCGGGTCTGCCGACACGTGCGTGAGTGGGCGGCTGTTGACGACTGCTTCCACTTCAGTCAAAACAGTGTGCAGTACTTCCTCGGAGACAAGCAGCCGCCCGAGGACAGCTCTCAGCGCGCGTTTGACAGTCCCCACCATCCGTTCCCAGGCGCCGCCCATAGCACAGGCAGCCGGTGGGGGGGGGGGGGGGACAGAATCTGCCCCCCTCCCGTTTTTCGCCAATAACTTCTAAACGCGTTACGCCAACGACGTCAAACCTTTAGTACCTTATAATACATTAATTTAACACGTTCCCTGAAAATTTGAGCGAAATCCGTCGGAAATTATTCATAAATTACCGCATGTAGGTAAATCGGTCGTGTGTGTGTGTGTTGGGGTTTAGAGGCGCCTCAACTCGGGAGGTTATATGGCGCCATAACGACTGATTTACATCGCTGTTATTGAGGATGTCGACACATGTGTAAATCTGTCAAGTGGTTGTTGAGATATAAGCTTTGCAAAAGCGTGACCACGCTCATACTCAGGAATTTCCGTTAATCTACGAAGACTACGCTCTCTTTGAAGACTCGCTCCGTAACCAAATACGGCCCAGACTTATTTTGCTGGCTGGGCAGCAGCGCGTGGAAATCCAGGGGCCCCAGCGGGGGACGGGTAAATAAAATTAAGGCGTCCCACTGCTGGGGCTGATCTGGTAAGCATCAGCGTAAGACGCTATGGCTGCGCTGGCCGCTGCATCATGACAGCACGGCACCTACTTCCGTAGGGGTCTAGGAGATGTGTATATGCGACTACTCCGGCCGGCTGCCAGGCCACCTACCTCCGTACGCGATGTGTATCTGCTCCGGCTGCCACTCGTCGGTAGCCTGGCAGGACAGCACCACCGCCGCGAGGCAGAGCAGCTGCCACAGCGCACACCTGCTGCACAGGTTTCGACCGCGACCGCCAGCCTGAACGGGGGCAGCGCGTCGCGTCACCTCGAATAGTCCCTGGCGGCCGCAGGGGCGCGGGCATACCGCATAGGGCCATGCACATCTTTCTTTAGCGGTTAGCACCCCCGCCCCCACGAACGTCCTATTGGCACTATTGACGTGCTGTCCCAGGGAAGCATTTTAGGCTGGTCTGTTGTCAGGGCCAACCCAATAGACAAAACTGTGTTTATTCCAAGTTCAGTCTACGATTGTGACACAAAAGATTCTTACAGATAGGTGACACATACCTACCTATTACCTACCCAACGAACGAAAAAATCGACTTACCATTGCCGCTATGAGCGCTGCCCGTCACCAGGTGAAAATGCGCCGACAAGGTTATATAACCTTGCTTATAGATGTCTCACAGCTCTGCTCCACGAACTTCACCTGCTGTGCAAATGCCCGTTCCCGGGACACACGCGTTTTGCAAACCCAAACAAACCCAAACTACTCAGCTGGTTCTGGTTCATTCTTACTGGTAGGCCCCTCAAAGAGATCTCGGTATAATGCGTATAATGCATATCATGTTGAGCTTGAGCTGCCTACATAATTAAAGGTCTCTTTCGTAATCAATTTTTCCTCTTGAAGTCGGTAATTCGATCTTCATGCCTTCCTCGTACTTAATAACAAATCAAAGAAAAAGCTATTACAGCTAGAACTGTTTCGACATTGTTCTATATACCCTGGTTTCGACCCATAGACCGTTCTCTTACGATGCATTTCTAAGCAGCAAATATTCTGTTTTTTTTTTTTTGCTGTATTTGTTCTTTTCCCCCTTTTCCTTCCACAATTTTCATAGAATAACTTACTTCAACAGCTGATTGCGAGAAAGCTGTAGCTACAAGTCTGCCGCAATTGGGGCAATTGTAACTGTAAACAGCGCAAAATGTAAACAACTGATCACATGTGTTTTGGGACGCCGGTGAAAACAGGGCGCCGGAGGGCATATTGTCACGTGACATTTGGAGCTTGTCCTTCTCCGTGAACCTTCTACATGCTAAATGTCACGTGTAAATTTCACGAACCTTGATCAAATCGCCCCAGGGGCGATTTGTCTTCACCGTCGTCTTCACCGTCGTCCTGTTTTTAAACTTGTATTGTTATTTTTTTTTTGTAAATCAGGGACGCTCTTCGCTCACAGCTGAATGCCCCACGGCGACCTCCTCTTTCGATTGTACCTTGACCTATACCCTCTCAATGTTGATGATACTTTCATATACACTGTGATGATGATAAATATAGGTACATAACATACCTACATGTACATACTACAGGTACATACATGATAAGTACTTGATGTACCTACAGATCCTGCCAAAAACATAAGTAATCTTCCCGGAAACCAGGGTGCAGGGGCCTTGGGTGCAGGTAAGTGATGTGATGATGTAATGCGAATTTGAATTTGATGTGATGGTTCGTCAAGTTAAGGTCACCCACATGATTGGTATCTTTCTAGTACAGCAATCGGTATATGTCAAGTTTAGGTCCTAACTACAATTGTGGCGCTTTTGATACGAATATGAAACAGCAAAAATTTTAGGTTTTAGGTTAGGTTAGGTTGTAGGTTTGTAGGTTTTAGGTTGTAGGTAGGTAGGTTTGTATGTTAGGTTAGGTTAGGGTAGGTTTGTAGGTTGTAGGTTGGTAGGTTATAGGTAAGTAGGTTAGGTTAGGTCAGGTTTGATTATGTTTTTTTCTTTTATTTGCGAGACATATGAGTATCATTTTTGGATTCAGGATGTCAAATAATGTAAAAATATGAAAAATGTATCAATGAAATCTTCTTAGGACTTAAACTTGACATTTACCCAGCAATCTAACCTCATTGGAGGAATATTTTTGTCTACCTAGGTATGTAGGTAGAATTTCAAAGGATCTTTTTCCTCGATAGTTAATTCAAATTGATTTTTAAAATAAATTTTGTTCGAACATTTTGATAGGAAGGATTCAGAAGGACAGACCCACCTCTAAGCGAAGCTTGTTGCGGTGACCCGACCCTCCAAAATTAAACTTGTGCAGTGCGCACATAGCTGCGCACTGCCGGTCCCTTCACTGACTTCGCCTGGCTACGGCCTGCCACCAACTGCAACCATACCTGTCAGGAGGCCTATAAATGTCAAGCAGGGGCCCGGGAACGATTTTCAAGTTGGGGGGGCGAGCCTAAAATACCTGACATGATGCATATGAAACAGTGGCGTAGCTAGGGGTCTACGGGGACACGTGCCCCCCCCCCATCGGGTTCAAAGCGACCCTGGGGCCCTGCGGCGCCATTTGACCGCTGAGGGTTAACAATGGCCATATTTTGACTCATAAGGGTCCCATGGGGCTCGTTAGAGCGCCTCGTGGGCCCTAGCCACACTAATATCTCCATAAGGGCCCCACACCGGCTTCTGAGGGCCTATTGCGGCTTTTAAGGGCCCCTCGGTGGTCCCCAAAGGCCCATTATTGGCCTCTGAGAGTTCTTACCGGCCTATGAGGGGCCAGTTCTAGGGGCATTTCCCGCCTGTGATGGTCCCACACTTATTTTTCTGAGGGCCCCATAACGGCAAATGTGGGGGCCCTCATTGGCGCCTATGAGGGCCCACAATGGTGTCTCTGAGGGTTTCAAACCCCCTCTGAGTGCCTACACCAGTGCCTTATATTAAAGCCCTATATCGGCGGCTCTGAGGACCCAACAGTCAGCACCTGCGCATCTAAAGGCCACCCACTGGTGACTTTTGAGGGCCTCACACCGGTGACTACTGACTCTGAGGGCCCCAACGGCGTCTGACAGTACCATGCCGGTCTCTAAGGACCCCACAGGACTTCTTCTGCCGGCCTAAGGGCCCCTTGCCGATCACTGAGAACCCCCTGCCGCCTTGTAGAGGGTTCACGTCAGCAGCTCTAAAGGCCCCACACCCGTCTGTAACGGCTCCACACCAGCGTCTATGAGAGCCCAAAGCAAAGCCTTTAAGGACCCTCACCGGCGCCTCTGAGAGAATCACACTATCTCTGATCTCTGATCAGACTCTCTCTGATCTCACACTAATCTCTGAGCGCCCACACCGGCACCTGCATGACGGCCCCACACCAGTGCCTCTAAAGGCCCCTTACCGGCGGCTCTGAGGGCCCCACGCCGGTGATTCTGAGGGCGCTACCGATAACCGAAGGCACCACTCAAACCCTTAGTGTCGCTGAGCTTGAATCCCATACCGGCCTTCCGAGGGCGCCACGTCAGTGCACTCATTGCCCCACACCCCTCCCTCACACCCGGAGCGGGTAAACTGTCATGCCTATAACAACGATTTTACCACCGTTGTACGTTATGTAATTCTCAAAGTTGACTCAAATGGTCCAGTAAAATAGATAAAATCCGGCCTGCCAAACTTAGGTCCAAGGTCAGGCCCAAACCAAAGCGGGATGACAATAGCAGAAGTTGTCAAATCGATACTGTATCAACAGAAACCATTCAGATGGCAAGGAAAATGCCATGTGTTGATGTTTAGATGATAAAGGAAACAAGAAGGAAAGAAGTCCGGAAAATGGATGGAAGATCCTTTATCGCTGCCTCAATGTTGAGGGGGCGCCGCCCCCTCGGCTCTCAAGTTGGGGGGGGGGGGGGCAAGCGCCCCCGCTGCCCCCCCCCCCTGTTCCCGGGTCTATGATGTCAAGCGCCCGTCGCGCTTCAAACCCGGACTGTCTGTAATGCGTGCTCTCACCAGTCACCACGTGGAGTCCAATGCTCTACCAACTGAGCTACGGGACCGGCAAAGTGAACTAAATTGCAATTACATATAAAGCAAATATTAGGTAGGGATATTGTTTTGCAAATTTTCTAACAGCAGGTCATTCTTAAAGGATAAAGTTCACTTTTAACATGGGATTTTGAACTGGAATAGCAGTTTCATAGCTTGAGCTGAGACTGAGACTAGCACAAATCAGGAGCTATTATGGCCCAATGATCACCTTAGACAAAGATACCCAATTTCTTGTTATGCAAAGAGTGCCTTGCAGAGGAATGAGTGCCTTGCTGAGGAATGCAGCCACATCATTGTCAGCCAATCAGCATGCTGCTCACAGCCAATGCAGCATGTGTAGGTAGGTTTGAACAGGAACAAAGCAATATGATTGGTAATACGCATTTACCAATCATATTGCATTGTTCCTGTTCAAAACTATGGTTCCATACCATAATATGGTATGGTTCCATAACCATAATATGGTATGGTTCAGTGGCGTATCCAGAAATCAGCAAAAGGGGGGGCATGGTGCTCGAGAAGGCGACTTTTCCCCTTGAGAGGGGCGCCATTGTCAGCTCGCGACAGGGGCGTCAGTCTAAAATGTAACGTCATGTTCATGCATGATTTACTAGGTGCTGCAAAATACGAGTATAAAAACTAGGTTTCGCTGATTTGTCATAAAATCCAACTAATGCAATTTGCAGCCTGGTGTTGTTTTATTAAAAAAAAAAACCTTGATCTTGATGAATATTTAGCACGATATAGGAAACGACTACGAGCTCAGGCTACGTACATTTTATTTAAAAAAAAACGCATCCATGCGAATTCGAAACGGTAAAACATACATTGATCGATGAGCACATTTTTTATTCTTTGCAAAAAATTATACAGGTTCACTCACTTATCCAAAGTGACCTGTGGGCTGCAGCCTGTGGTCGACCGGAGTGGCCGTGCTTAGAATCTAAGACCGCACGTAGTATGAAGGATTCACGCTGCGACTTTTTGCCTAAATTGGAATCCAGGAAAGACTTGAACATTTCAGAAATCAGACCATAAGATCCACCATGAGATCCCAACTGATGGCCATACTAGCAGCGACTGCAGTCAGAGGCGACCGAACGCTTTTATACGTTCTGGATTTTTTCTCCACAAATCACCTTAAATTCGATGTGTATAATGCGCGTAGCCCCTAATTGTCGACATGGGTGACTGCATGAGTGCCAGATGGATGAGGCGTGAGACTGTCTCATATAGTCAGGGTAACTTTTAAAGGGGGGAAAAGGGGAATTTCCCCCTTTCGAAAATTCCGCTCCCCCTTTCAAATTGTGCGTGGACGGCTAGGGAGGGAAGGGGGAATTTCCCCCTTTCAAATTTATTTTTGAGCCCATTTTCAATCAATTCGCTAATCAGATTCTATAATCATCGTTGATCAGACTCTAGTCATCAATCAACGTTGCTGGCGCTTAGATAATTTTCAATTTGAGGTTCCATCCAACCATTTTACGTTCAGTGCAGCGAGAACTCCAGATTTGACCCGATATCGATCGGATGGTCGGTGGGACCGTCTCTTGTCTTGTCTCTTCCGTCTCTTCGCAATCACTGACATATCGCTACAGGCGTCAGCGTAGAAACCGGCGGGGGACGGGGTTATGACCTCTCCGAACCAAGGGTCTTCCTCCGAACCAGGGTCCTTCAATCGGTCTTTGCCTAGCAAAAATAGTCACGTGTTAAGCTCTCTCTATTTAGAAAGGCGCTACTTGATGTTTGGCCAGGGTAATAGGTTGATACTACTGATTGACATTTGCAAGGGCGCAGTCAAGTTGGGACCTCCCCCGCCCCTTACCGCCAAGGTAGGTACCTACGCATATTTTTTAGCTTATTTATTTTTTGGCAACCTAACAATATAAAGTGGCCAGAATCCGGGGAGAGAGTAGGATTTGGGGGTAGGTAAGGTTCTGCAGGCGACATCCTAACAAAACCCTAATGGCATTGGGCCCCACGTTCAGATGCCCCTGGATCCGCCCTTGCCCCGAACTTTATTCCCCCTCTCGACTTTTCCTGTAGAAGTAACCCTGCATATAGTGGCACTAAGGTAAAGGATGTCCTCGGCCGACGTAGTATAGAAGACGACCTTTGATGATGTGAGTGTGCATGATCGACTTTGAATAAGCGCCATAGATACCTGCTGATCTCACCGAACATTCGCCCTGCGTAATCCCCAGACAAAATATCTACATTGAGGGACAGGTCAATTTTGCGACCTCTCCATTACCTATCAGTTAAACCGCGCTGTGCTGGTGGCCTGTGTTTTCCGTGTCATGCTGGGGCAGGGCGTATTTTATGGGTCGCCGTTTGCCGACCCAGTTGCCGCCCCCTCTAGGATGCAGCACGCACATGCAGGCTAGGTGCCGTCATTCATAGTGATGCTGCTGCCCTCCGAAATGATAATGCCGCCTCTTAAAGTGAAGCAGCTGTCTATAGAAAGTGATGATCCCGCAACTCAATGTGACAGTGCCGCCCCTAAATCTGTTAGTAGCCCCACTCAATGTAATGGTGCCGCCCTTCTAAGCATCTGTGGAGCCCCTCAATGTGATGACGCCGCCCCTCAAGAAGATGATGCCGCCCCTTTCAGTATCGTTGGCGCCCCTCAAT